AGGTTGGTTTTGATTAATCAAACCTGTTTGGTCCCATTTTCCCCCACTTTTAGCTTTTTTTGTTATATATTCTTTTACTTTACATTTAGTGACTACCCTTGGGATTACTACCTATACCCCAGATTTTTTCCAGTAAATATATATGATTAATTTAACTACTTCCCTGCAATGCTTGAATTTTAGAACACTGTAGCTCCATTTACTCTCTTCTAGCTTTTGTGTTATTATTTTCATGAATTTTAATTTGACATCTATTTTAGACCCCAGAAGACAATAGTGTTATTGTTGTATACCCTCAATATTCATTTACATTTACCCATATATTTACTCTTTCTGTTACCCTTCATTCCTTCCTGCATTTACATGCTTTTGTCTGGGATAATTTTCCTTCTGCCTGAAGAACTCTCTTTAGTAGTCCTTTTAGTGCAATTCTGTTGTAGATGTATTCTCTCAGTTTTTATTAGTTTGACATCTTTATTTCTCCTTCATTTTTGAAGGATATTTTTGCTGTGTGTATTTTTCAAGCCTATAATTCCAGATTGATAGTTATTTTCTCTCATTACTTATATTCTGGCTTCCATTATTTCTGTTAGAGAGTCAGTACCAAATCAATTAAAAATTCTATAATATACCCCCCTCCCCTGACTGCTTTAAAAAATATTTTTCTTTGGCTTTTATTAGAGTTACTATGATGTGCCAAGATATGGTTTTCTTTACATTAATCCTACTTGGATTTTTTCAGGGCTTCATGAATAAGTTGCTTGATGTCTTTCATCAGTTTTGGAAAAATTTCAGCCATTATCACTTCAAATATTGGTTTTGCACCATTCTCTCTCTTTTCTTCTTCTGGGACTCCAATTACATGTGAGTTAGAATTTTTCAATCTATTCCTTATGTTTCTTAAGTTCTTTTCTATATTTTTTCATCCTTTCCCATCTCTGTGTGTTAGTCTCAACACAGTTCATATTGAATTGTATTCCAGTTCACTCAGCGTCTTCTGCTGTGTCTAATCGACTGTTAAACACATCTACTGAGTTCTTAACTTCAGTTATTTTATTTTCAAGTCAAGGATTTCCATTTGATTATTTTCATACATTCCAATTTCCTGATGAAACAATCTGTCTTTTCATCCATCTTTTCCTCTGTTTTCTTGAACACATCATAACTATTTTAAAGCCCTTGCCTGATAAGGTTAATATCTGGAACAGCTGTGCATGTTTTTATTGCCTTGTTTCTTATTGGTTTTGGTTCTATCTCTTGACATGATTGGTCATTTTTAATTAAACTCTAGACTTAACATGTTAAAATCGTATATGCTTTGGATGTTATTTTTTTCTCCTGAGAGGGTTCACTTTTCCTTTGCTCCATCAATAGAGTGGGGACTGGTCACCTTAATTTAATCAGAGATTAAGCTGATTCACCTTGGGTTGCAATTTTGGCAAGGATTGGTCTACACTGGTTTGACTCCCCTTCTAGGACATAACCGTTCAAGAGTTTCTGCTGACAGCCTGGGACATCCATCAGAGCCCCATCTCTACAGCTGATCATGAGCTCTAATCCTTGTTATGTGAGCACATCAAAACTGCCCAAAACTCTGCTTCATTTTTCAGAGGCTTCTTTCTTGTCTTCTTCGTCCTTTCCACTTACCTTCAGAATTTTCTAGTGTCTTGAGAGAAAGACAGGTATTGTAATGTAGACAAACCTCTGCCTTACCTTTCTCACTTAGATTCTGCACCCTCACATTCCCCCCACCCCTTTTTTTAATTTGGTCTCTCTAGTCCTGGGAAACTGTCTGAGACTTGGGTAAAAGAGTGATAATGACCCGTCTGACAGTTTCTGAGAGTAAAATAATATGTGAAAGCATTGGGGGTAATAGACACTCCATAAATGTTATCATCTATTCTGTTAAGATTAATATAATAAGTAGAGAGAAACGTCAGCTAAACTGGGCAAACCCCAATTAATGCAATATTCAGTTATAGAAACACAAAAGGGGCAGGATTCTAATAATGAAGCATAGCAGGTATGATGATTAATTTTATGTGTCAACTTGGCTGGGCTATTTGTTGTTGTTGTTAGCTGCCATTGAGTCAGCCCCCTACTCCTGTCATCCCCATACACAATGGAAAAAAAATGCTGCCCAGTCCTGCACCATCTCCATGATCTATTGTGGATCAGACTGTTGTGATCAATAGAGTTTTCACTGGCTGATTTTTGGAAGTAGATCACCAGGCCTTTCTTCCTAGTCCATCTTAGTTTAGAGGCTCTACCGAAACCTGTTCAGCATCATAACAACATGCAAACCTCCACTGACAGATAGGTGGTGGCTGCGCATGAAGAGCATTGGCTGGAAATCAAACTCAAGTTTCCTGCATGGAAGTTGAGAATTCTACCACTGAACCACCAATGTCCTCAACTTTAAATGAGGTTCAAATGAGGTCACCAGTTATACAAAACTTGACTATGCTTTATCTTTACCTACAATTTCTCTGATGTATTTTCTTGCTGATCAAGGTAAAGAAATTAATACTCTTGTGCTGTCAAACTAATACTCATCTGAAATGTAAACTTTTACGTTTACCAATAATTCTGAAATGTGTGCCCAGCTACCACCAATGACTGCCCTGACAGGCAACACAACAGAGAGTCCCTGACGGAGCAGGAGAAAAGTGGGGCGCAGAACTCAAATTCTAGAAAAAAGACCAGATTAATGGTTTGACTGAGACTGGAGGGACCCTGGAAGACATGGCCCCCAGACTCTGTTAGCCCAAAATTAAAACCATTCCCAAGGCCAACTCTTCAGATAAAGATTAGACTGGACTGTGGGACATAAAATGATACTTGTGAAGAGTGTGCTTCTTAGCTCAAGTAGATACATAAGATGAAATGGGTAGCTCCTGTCCACAGGTGAGATGAGAAGTCAGAGAGGGTCAGGAGCTGGTTGAATGGACATAGGAAATCCGGGGTGGAAAGGAGGAGTATGCTGTCACAGTATAGGGAGACCAACTAGGGTCACATAACAAAATGTGTGTAAATTTTTGTATGAGAAACTAACTTGAACTGTAAACTTTCACTTAAAGCACATTTTAAAAAAAAAAATTGTGAAATGTTTGAGAGAATTTTAAAAAGTCTAAAGGCTTGGCTAAATTGTGTCTTTATGTTCCTAAACTTAAAATGAACTCCATGAATTCTGTCCAGGAAAAACACAGCTTTTTATTCTATAGAATTATAAAAGATCAGAAGAGCTTTTGATTCTTAAGATGGCCATCACGATTTTTTGTATCCTATCTGAAGAAGATGTAAAATAACCTTGATTAAAGATTAAAAGTTTGTTTTAGATTTCCTAAAATAAACATAACTGGGAGCTTTGTTTACTTTGATAACAAAACTAAGTTGGGAGGTGAGGGGCAGAGAGACTAGAGAAAGTATGAGAGTCCTAGCATTCTCATTTTTATACCAAGAAGGCCATTTGAAGCCTGAGGTTTTAGAGCACAGTGACTTCAACTGCTCAGTGTTTCCTTTTTTAATAATCTAGGAGGGCTCTTTAAATAAATAAAAATCTCTTGTAATAAAAAATTTGAAGTTTAGTAATTCCTCAGTTTCTCTTTAATTTCCTTTTTTTCCTGTTATAGTTTTTCTTTTCTTTCTTTCTTTTTTTAAATTAAAACTAGCATTCCTATGCTATTTTGTTATTGTCCCACAGGTTTCTGAGGCTCTGTTCATTTGTTCAGACCGGGTGAATTCTATTGTTCTGTCCTCAGATTCACTGATACCAACCCCCACCATCTCCACTCTACTGTTGAGCCCAGCCACCAAGTTTTTAATTTCTTATATTGTAGTTTTCAGTTCTATAATTACATTTTTTTAAAGAACTTCTATTTCTTTCCTGAGATTTTCTATTTTTTTAAAGAGAACTTGTTACTAATTCTTGAAGCATTTTTATGACGGCTACTTTAAAATTCGTACCAGGTAAATTCCAACAGCTGATTCATCTCATTGTTGGCATCAGTTGATTGCCTTTTCTCATTCAAGTTGTGATTTTCTTGATTCTTGGTATGACAGGTTTTTTTTTTTTTTTTTTTTAATTGCATCCTGCACATTTTGTGTATTAGGAGACTCTGGGTCCTATTTAAATCTTTTATTTTACAGGGAGTCACTGTTTAGGTTTAGCACACTGGCCTTAGCCTACTGTTGTGAGCCTTGGTTCCAACAGCAATTTAATTTCCAGAGCCATTGTGGTATTATTTTGGTCTGCTTGGAGTGCTGGGGCTCCCACTGGTTTCTCTGTTACTGCTGCTAAAGGTGGCAGAAGGAATTTCCTCTGTTTGGGTCACCAAAAGGAGCCCTGGTGGTGCAGTGGTTAAAGTGCTCAGCTGCTAACCGAAAGGTTGGCACCAACTGCTCCACAGGAGAAAAATGTGGCAGTCTGCTTCTATAAAGATTTACAGCCTTGGAAACCCTATGGCGCAGTTCTACTTTGTCCTAAAGGGTCTCTGAGTCAGAATTGCCTCGACAGCAATGGGTTCTTTCCTTTGGTTTGGGTAACAATATATCTCAGTGGTAAGGGGTTTGGTGGAATCCTCTGGCACCCCTGGTGTCTCTCTCTGGGCAGGGGAGGAGAGCTGTAGGCCACAGCCTCCCTCGACTGGGCCACCCACGTCTCTCTTACTGGTTTTCATGCCTACTTCAGTATCTCTCCATGGAAAAGGGGAGTCTCTGGCCCAGCAAGAAAGGAGAGTGCTTCCTCTGGTTGCTTGTTTTTGGCACAGCTCTCAATGGATCCCCCTTGCCTGATGTCGCCAGGGGGCTCCCAATCAATGCATAGGAAAATGAGCTACCTGTGCTACCTTCTGTTGCTAGATGGAGAGTCAGGAAACACCAGGTCTTGGTGGACTTCTTTTGCCTCTGTGCTCTTTGTTTGATCCTGGGTTCCCAAATTAGCTCATCTTCTTCTTAGCACATTTCAGAATTCTCCTTTGGTTGTCTCTTGTGCAATTTCCAGGGTTTATAGCTGTGCTTTATGGGGGAGGAGCAGGGAAAAACAGGTCTGTACCATCTTGTCTCTCAGCTACTAAATTTTATTATTGTTAAAATCTTTTTCTGTTTTGCTAATTTAAGCCCAGTATTTATGGATATCAAAAATCTCACAGAAACCTTTGCCCAATGCAGGCATTTAACCTATTTTTCCAAATGTAATTAAATTAAATGGGAAAAAAATGGATGTGCTAGTACACCAGGATCTAAATTGAGCTTTGGGCCATAAATATAAGGATACTATTGAGGATCACACACACACACACACAAACACACCTCTTTCAGGTAACTCCTCCCAGTCTTTTCACAGTGGGTCTCTTCACTGAGCACAAATGGATTAATGAAGTCACCAAGGGGGCTAGGGAAAATGGGAGGGGTTGGTAGAACCTATTAGCATATTATAGGAAGAGCTTATTACAGGAAGGGCATAGCTCCCTCCTCTTGGGGTTTTCTGAGTGGTAAGATCTGGCATGGATGTGTCTGCTTGGGAATCTTAACTCTGAAACACTAAGTGGTACCAGGAGAAAGATGGTTCCAGAACTACCCAGGTTGGCCTATCTCTGCTCTGAGTTTTAGCAAAAAGGCTTAATACAGTCAAGTGCGCCAAAGTAGAAAAACAGTTGTTTATCTGGGGCAGAATCCTCAATCCAGAATGTCTTCTTTCTTATTTACTTATATACTGTGCTGTTCCCAAGAAGCATTTAAAGGGGTTTCAATGGATACATACTATATAATATAAATTAGATAGACGCAAAAAGAGTAAGAGGGAAACAAGGGACAGGAATAAGCTGGTGCAAAGATGCTTCCCTGTGATTTTCTACACTTGCAATAAATAGCCCGCGAGACAGCACGTGGCTGGGGTCTTTCCTGTGCCATCTCCAACTGGAAACTCAGGAGTGCTCGGCACCCAGCATGGAGGCAGCAGGGTGCACGCCTAACGTGGGGGACCCCTCAACATATGCACTAGAGGGAGACAAGTTCCCATGGAATATTTCCCTAAAGCATTCCATAGATGTACTGCTCCTGAAACTTGTTTGATTTCTTCAGAAGGATTGCCGAGTTCTCACTTTGAGAATGGCTGTCATCCTGAGCAGTGTGAACTAGTTGAAGACTCAAGCTACTAAGCTCCGAAAGATTACCTCCCAGTTACAGTCCATTACAAGTAAGAGACTATATAAACATGCAGCAAGCATGAATCAAAGCTAAAACTAGTCATTAATTTCTCAAATTCTTTTCGTTTTAATTCTTCTATTTGATTCTCAGAATCTAAAGCGAAACTGGCACAGACTTGCAGTGACCTTCTCAAGTCAGCAGGAAATCTTGGTGACGCTGATGACATGCGGGAGTTGAGACGTAGCCGCTCCTGGGGGCTAAATGACCACACTCCTTCCACTATGGGAGCTGTCTCTCTCCTGCCGGATAAAATGCAAAAAAAAAAAAAGAAAAAAAAGAGCCAGTCAACTGAGGGGGAGTGTTATTGTCTATGCATACAATACACAGGTGGGCTTGATTTAGGTGCAAATCCTGGGTGAGTGTGGTTGCTGGGACAACAAACCTGAATCTAAAAAATATTCCTGGACTCTTAATGTGAAGCCAGTCTCTCCCAGAGGCTTAGGTTCCCCTTCCTTTCTAGCTCCCTGAGACTTCCCTCAAATACCTTTAATTTCTGAAAATGTCTTACAGTCTCCTTCACTCTGCCGCTTTATTTTTCAACATTTAAATCCTCTCTTAGACTGAAAACAAAGATGCTGGGTTCCACCAATCAGCCCATTTCTTTGCCTCCCATTCATGAAGCTATGGCCCGGTCCTCCTCTTCCTCACCATGTATATTCTCCTGAACCATCCCTTCCCAATGCTTTACGAAAACGTTGACGTTCACCCCTTAGTATTTCTCTGAGGTTCTTTTTCAAAGATCACTATTTCTTCCTGATCAAACTCAGTGACCTTTCTTCAGAAGTTATTCCACTTGATTTCTGTGCAAACATTTGCTTCAAGAGGGCACAGACTATGGTTTACACTTCTGATAGTTCTCCAACTATGTAAGTTATAAGTTTACCTGCCAGCCTGAAGGACTTCACAGACTAGGAATGTAACAAGTGTATTGTGGAGGCTCATTGTGTGTGTTTGTTGAATATCTCCAGCTGTGGTGCACCTTATATGTATGTACATTCATGTTGCTATAAAAAAGAAAATCTATGTGTTTCCAGTTTATCAGCAAAGTGAGCTTCAGGGACTAGGTAATCAAGATATTGTGGATGAATGCTTTACGATGCGAAGGTAAGTAATGACATGTGGTAAAAAGTACTTGTCCAGGGCTTGCTAAAGGAACATCTAGACATGATCAAGGACTAGACATTTTATTGAAAGCAGAGTAAAAATTCTGATCTCATTTTTTTTAAATTAAATCAAAAAGTTAAGGAAAGAGAAAACAACGACGGCAATAAAAAAAAAAAAAAAACACCTGGGATTCTCTACAGAAAACCTGAGTTTAGCTTGGGGATGCAGTCAGAATGCAGTCAGAACAGGTGTGCATAGGTCAAGTTTGGAACAAACCAGAAATGCCTTGGGGAGCTAGGGCCAGATTGGAAAGAAACATAATTTAGTCAAAGGAGGCCAGGAATGCAGAGGCCACTCAGTCTATAACCACTGGAGTTAAAAACGTGAAGTTATTGCTTCCTGTGTTTCTGTGATTGCGGCTTTGGGGGAGTGAAGAGACCACCAGAACTGAAGTGAGAAGATCTCAGTTCCGGAGTCGGGTGGGTGAGCCCTCCACATAACTTCCATTTTCTCATGGGTGCAGAGAATGTTTCTCACCTGTTCTGGGTTCCTACAAGATCATTGGCATGAAAAAGTCCTTGTGTGTTTGTACCTACTTGCAAAACATTACCCTTGAAGAGAAAGTTCCATGTGAGTCAAGCTTTTTGTTTGATATTACTCTGAAAACTTAGTATTTTTAATAAATTTTCTGTAAAAATTTTGGTGAAACTGTAATTGCTAAAAGCTTCATTTAAGAACAGTGATGCATCTTATCAACTTAAACAGAAACTCCAAGTTATACACAATCAAAGGTCACCATCTAGTGGCGCAATTGTATTATAAGTTTTAAATTTAACCTGCAAGCCTGAAGGACTTCAGAGGCCAAGAATGTAACAAATGTGGGAAGCATCCAGCCCCACCCAAGATAGGAGGGAAGAGAGCAGTCAAATTCCAAGTTCCAAACGAAAGGAACAAAACACTGTGTCTTTCAAACCAACCAATCTGCCAAATGAAGCTTCAGCCTGAGGCCTCAGGGCACTGTCAGAATCTGAGTGGAAACGCAAATGTGATAACTCTTCGAGAGATATCACTCAGAGACCTAACACTATGAAGGCTTTTAAAATTATCTTGAACAAAATCTTTGCCTATCAGGAGGCAAATTTTGTTTTGCTTTTGGTAGAATTATTGGTGTGGCTCCCTGATGATAAAGAAAGCTGTGATATTTCCAGAAAATGAGAAAGAAATAAAGTCTTTTCTCTCTAGGAGTTACTGAAAAGGGCACAGACCTGAGTGTAAAAGCGCTACGTTCAAGTTCTGGCTTTACTCCCTATTGGCTGTGTGACTTTGGGCATGTTACTTAACATTTCTGAGCCTCACGGGGTTGTTGTGAGGATTAAATGAAATAACGGTTAGAAAGAGTTTACCCCAATGACTAAGATATTGGTGTGAAAAAAAGGCCTCTTCCTGCCTCCCTCTTACCCTTCTCTCTCAAGGAGCCCCATAATTTAACTTACAGAGAATAACTGAAATAGGATTTGGATTTTAGGCCAAAAACTAACTTGTAAATTACGTTTTGCTGTTGTTGTTAGAACGAAAATAACTGACTAAACCGTGACTGAAGACCTGGTTTAGTCACTATATGAGTAAACAGTTGTTGCCCAGGTTCTGGGTTGTCTTTCAGACTAATTTTCTTACTGGTAACATGGAAGAAACAGCATTATCTGTAAAATGAGGAAAATACTATAAATCTCACAGGGTTATTGTTGTGAGGATTAAATAAGGTAAGAAGTCCATAGCTCAGAACCACTTAGCAAGGGATGGCTGTTTTCATGTTATTGGTCTTTGTCTCCCTCGTGGGGCATCTGTGAGAATAAAATACAATTGCTATCGATTGTTCCAGAAATATCCGCTGGCCTTGGCTACTCTACTCCACCAGTCACTCCTCACCTAGATTCTGCCCCTGCAGAGTAGCAGCGCTGTGCCTCTCCTGAGGTGCCCACTCCTTTGCAAACACCCTTCATGTGACTGGTTTTTAAACAAACCACAGCGGAGCTTGTACTTCCAAATGAGAGTTGTATCCTTCCAAGCCCGTGGGAGATTAAACGTCTTGTTCCTATAATACTTCTCTACTCTGGAAACTTCCCTCAGAGCCTGCTGCATATCCCTTTGACTACCTCAAACAGGCAACGAGAATAGGATTTTAGTCAAATAGAGCAATAGACTTTTGTGGGTAGCTTGTAAGTTGGCTCTAAAGGCAGTTCATGAATGTTTCTGAGCAACGGCAGCACAACTTTGCAAAGTGGCAACGTTAAAGAACCACCATCATTTGGAGCCTTAGCCATAAAGGCCTGTGTTCAATTCCTGGCTCCACTACTCACCAGCTGCCCAGTCTCTCTCCGCCTCATATCCTCATCTGTGAGATGGAGACCTGCTTGACTACCGCACAGGACTGTGAAGTGAAAGCAAGGATGAGGCCCTTTAAGCACTGATTCCTGTCTCTGTACTCTGCACTGACTAGCACCCTGTACTCACTAGTACTAACAAGTGCTGTCTCACCAAGCCCACCAGGCAGTTTGTGCAAAACAGAGAGGAGGTACCCTCAGTGGTGCCGTACGAGGAGGCCTGTGTCAGCCATGGAAGGTCCTTTCTGCCCACGCCCAACCCTCAGCAGGATGCCCCAGGCTCACCGAGCGCCTCTCCGCACTCCCTTTTTTACTGCCATTCTTGCCTGGAAGGACATCCAGTGAGCGGTAGCTGGGTGGCTTCTCCTCGGGCCAGTTTGGGGAGTGTGAGCGGCGGCGGTGGGCTCCCCAGCTCCGGGGTTGCCTCTCCTTCTCCTCCTCAGAGCTCCAAGGACTGAGGCCTGAGGGTAGAGGAGGAGAGTAGCTCCGGGGCCTGTGTCTCCTGTGCCTCTGGGCACTCTCCCGGGGGCTGGGCCTGCGGGGCCTCTCTGCATGGTGGCTCCTGGGAGGGGGGCGGCTGGACCGCCAATGGGCCACACTGGACGAGGGGCCGTCGCTGAGGCCGTCGCTGAAGCTGTCCCTGTCTGACCAGGGTATGGGTGAGCCATTCAGCCTGGAGCCACGGTGTCTCCCACGCCTCGAGTAGTCCAGCTCCCTTCGCTCCGGTGCCCAGGGCTTTGGCCAATGGTCCTGGAGCTCCTGGTGGAAATCAGAGTAGTGGTGCTGCCTTCTCCCTTCCCTCAGATCCCAGGGTCTGGAGGGAACCTGAGTGAGCCACTGCTGGTGGGAGGAGTCGCTGGTCCTCCGTGAGGATGGCAGGTCTCTGACCAGTGGGGGCAGGTGGATGATTCTGCGTTCCACAACCTCGGAGCCCAGCGAGGACAGCATGCTGCAGGGATGGCCAGATCTGGCTTTGAGGTCAGGGGGCGGAGGCTGAGCCAGGTTAAGGTTCCGTAGCTCCTTCTCCAAATACTCTAGGACACCATTGGCGATGGGGGGCTGAGCAGCAGTCTGGGTCATTGGCATCTGTGGGAAGCTGGACTGCACAGACAAGTCTGAATGGAAACAAGGATAAGAACATGCAGGACTGCTGGCCCAAAACAACACTCCTAGGAATCAGGCACTAAAATGTCACCTTATTTAGCTTGAATCCACCCCTCCCATCAGTCACAAAAATATCCACCATGTTGGCCATAGAGGTCTCCATCAGCCCATGTTCCTGCCCTTGCCCTCTGTCCTCCCCACCTCAATTTTCTGGCAAGGTTTACCTCGCTGCAGCAGCGGGTTCATTGGGTAAGATGAAACCTGGGAGCTCCTGTCCGCCCCCCAGTACAGGGGTTTTTCCATCATCTGAGGGACTAGGGCCTGAGCCTGCTTCATGTGGCGGTGGCGGGCCAGGGCTGCAGGGGAAGAAGGAGAAAAGCAGACCCTCAGCCAGGGCAAGCTCCACACCTCCCACTTCTCTCCAACTAGCAGCCTTGCCAAGAGACCAGCTTCTCTCCTCCAAGTCCATTATGACCTGTCTTAAACCAGTTGCCACAGAGTTGCTTCTGACTCGTGGCAACCCCATGTGTGTCAGAGTAGAACTGTGCTCCATAGGGTTTTCAATGGCTGAGTTTTTTTTAACAGCAGATCACCAGGCCTTTCTTCTGAGGTGCCTCTGGGTGAATTCGAACTTCCAACTTTTTTGTTAGCAGCTGAACACGTTAACCATTTGTACGACACACAGCATAGGATAAGAAGTTAAGGCAGTAGTAAATCAACTGTCCTTTTGGAAAGGAGCTTGGAAGAACTTCCCTAGGTAAAACTGCAACTCCTGCACCCCAAGAAAGTATATTATTAAAATTTGACTTCCTAGCCTCAAAACATTTCACCATTCTACCCATCCCCAAGGTCAACTAAAATGTATTGGTAGCTGCATGGATACTAGCAATGAAATCTCTGCCACAGGCCAGAAATAGAAAGTACAGATGCAAAGGTTTAGAGAAAGCTGTGAGTCAGGGGCTGGGGGCTTTTGGGGGCCCTGCCAGAGATGCTCAGGGATGCCTCTCAGAGAGGAAGAAAAAAAGGGAAGGATGCAGATGTTGAAGGTCAGTAGGCAGAATTACTGGTAAAGGGAGGACTGCAGAGTGTTTCTAGCTTGTACCCCAGCCGTGGGTGGGAGAAAACCTATGGGAAGAAGGTGAGAGAGAACACAAGAAGCTAAAGTGGATTCCGGTGAATTCTTTTTACTCCTCTTCTCGCCTTATTTGGTTAGGTGTTGGGGTTTTCCCTAAGTAGAAGGAATCTCTTAAGTGGTGAGTGGGAAGGGGGAAGGGAAATACCTTTTCCTTTCAGGACAAAGAGTAGATTATGGAAAAGCATCATGAGGTATCACCAGCAACGCCACTGCGGCCCCTTACAGACAGCTGGCCTGAAGTGTATAACCCACTCAATAAAAGTGAGTGCGAATGAAAAACAACAGCATTTAGTTGTTTTTGTTCATGAATTTCCATTTCAAGGTCATGGTGACTGAGTGCCACGTGTCTCCCAAGGTCTCTGCCTATCCACGCATGTAGGAAATGTGCATTTAAATGCAGGAAGCTGTCGCCTCAGGTTGAGAACAAGGGTACCTGACAACCTGGCACTCTCACCTCCTTGGTCCTCCCCACTCCAGTCCTTTAAAACCCACTGCCATCTAGTTGATTCCACTCCTAGCGACCCTATAGGACAGAGTAGAACTGCCCCACAGGGTTTCCAAGGCTGTAATCTTTATGGACGCAGACTGCCACATCTTTCTCCTGCAGAGCAGCCATTGGGTTTGAACTGACCTTTTGGTTAGCAGCCTAGCACTTAACCACTGTGCAACCAGGGCTCTTTCCCCAAGACCTTAACAAAAGCAAAAAAAAACAAAAAACCAAAGCCATTGCTGTCGAGTAGATTCCAACTCATAGCCACCCAACAGGACAGAGTAGAACTGCCCCATAGGGTTTCCAAGGAGCAGCTGGTGGATTCAAACTGCCGACCTTTTTGTTAGCAGCCATAGCTCTCAACCACTGCACCACCAGGGCTCCCCCAAGCCCTTGTTGTTGTTGTTAGGTGCCATCCAGCCCACTCCCTAAAGCAGCAGAGCTGGGCCTGAGGTTCCCTCCTGGCACAGTGGGAGAGGGTGGAAGGCAGGCATTCTGGACCCGGCTATACAGGGTGGGGGTTTTGCTAAGGCAGCAGCAAAGGGGAATCTGGAGGTCTCCCCAGTGGCTCCAAGTGTGAAACAGACTTCAGCACAAGAGGAAGTGGTTGCAGCAGAGTCACCAAAAATGTCTGGAGCTCCAGCCCTGTGCCCCAGAAAAGGTCACAGCTCATCCATGAGGAAATCAGATGCTAACTTGCAAAAGTTCACAGAACTGTCATACCTTCACGCCAACAGAGCACTCCAGACTCCTTGAAGACCAGTACCCGTGTTCAGCATTTTCTTCTTCCTCCTGCTAACAGATGCCTCCCTGCTTGCTCCCTCTACTGGCCACCATCAATAATGCTCTGCTTAATATGTGCTGGTCAGTTTACATATGCTAATTAATCCTCAGGAGCCCTGGTGGCACAGTGGTTTGAACCCATCAGCCACTCTGTTCTGCGGAAGAAAGATGTGGCGGCCTGCTTCGATAAAGATTTACAGCCTTGGAAACCCTACGGGGCAGTTCTACTCTATCTTATAGGGTCGCTATGAATTATAGGGTCATTATGAGCCATAGGGTCTCTATGAGTTGAAACTGACTCAACAGCAATGGGTTTCACTAATCTTCAGAGCCATCTCTTAATGTGGGAGTCAGATGAAGCTGGGGCTCAGAGGTTACTTTCCCAGCCCAAGGTCTCCCAGATGGTGAGTGGCAGAGCCAGTCTGTGAACCTGCATCTGTCTGGCACCCAAGCCTGTGCTTTTCCTACTATACCAAGTCCCCAACTCCTTTATTTCTGTGAGAAAGCAAAAAACCCTCCCCACGGGTATCTCTTCAGTTTATTTCTGTTCAACTCAGCTCCTTCTCTTTCAAAACCCTTTCCAGTCTAGTCCCTGCCTTCAAGGTCTGGGGTCAACTAATTCTACTGGGACAACCCTATTCTCCACTCTTCCCTTTTAAACTAAATCCTGGAATCCTCTAGAAGGTACCATTTTCCCTTTTGGTCACTTCCTTCTCCTACTCCCCCAATTCAGTAGGGGGGAAAGGGAGAGTTGGGCTTGTTCCATGCTCCCCAGTAGATATTTTTTCATAAACAGGACCCCTTGCACAGAACTCCCTGCATACCCTTCCAGGTCCTGTATTAGCTTTCCTGTCATTCCCCTGGATTTTCCCCAATACTGTGGGGATGAACCCACATGCTCCCTTCTTGGCTACAACAACATTTTCCCTATGGTCTCTCCCTTCCTTGATGCACTAGCACTGATGGGAGGCAACTGGAAATAGAGTCTCCAGGCTTCTTCTTTGCTCCCCTGCCCCTGAAACAGCCCCAAGGAGAGGTCTGGACTATCTAAGGGCTTCTGTTGCTTATCTAATGGGGAATCAGACAGGTAATAAAAATAAGAAACACAGATAATAACAAAGCTTCAAAAGACTTCCAATAAGTCATCTTGGAACCTCAATGGAGTAAACTTTGCCTTACCAAAACCAAACCAAATACATTGCCATCAAGTCAATTCTGACTCATAGCGACCCTATAAGACAGAGAACTGCCCCATAGGTTTTCCAAGGAGTGGCTGGTAGATTTGAACTGCCGACCTTTCGGTTAGCAGCAGAACTCTTAGCCACTGTGCCACCAGGGCTCCACAAGTCTACCTTAGTCACCTTTCATGAGCTTGTTAAAAATACAAATTCCAGTGTCCCACTCCCAAAGACTGTCATTTAGTAGGTCTGATCCTAGGTGAGAAATATGTGTTTTTAACAAGCTCCCTATTTCTAATGCAGGAAGTCAACTTGTAGTTGACTGTTGAGGATTTTCAACAACACTTTGAGAAATAGATCTTGGGGGATAGGTCTCTTCTTAAATACAGGCTTTGAGGGTCAGATGGACTTCAACTTGAATCTCAGCATGTATTAGCTGTGTGACTTTGAGTGAGTTTTAAGTCTCTGAGCCCCAGTCTTCTCATCTGTGAGCTGGGGATAATAATACCTATTTCACTAGGATGTTGAGGTTAAATGAGATAAAACACGTGAAATGCCTAATATGCGACAGCCAGGAGACAGTGGCTCTCATTGCTATAATAAATCACTTCTTTTGCCATTAAGTCCCTATAGGAGGAGACAAAAGCACACATTTAAGACTAAACCACCAAAGGCATATTCATCTTCATTTCTGACGAAAATGAGGACTCAGAGCATGTTATTTAAGACCTTCTCTTTGTGACAAAAATGACCGTCAACACCTCTTCTCACACTCCTCAGAGACCTGCACCTCCCCTCCCCTCCCCTGTAGGCACATCATCTGTGCCCATCACCATGCAGAACTGGTTCCCTATGAAGATCTCCAACTGCAGTTGCCCATAACTGATTACCATTCCTTACCATTCCTTTCCACTCTTACAGAGCCTGTCCTTTGCACTCCTTTTGACCCCTGATCACTCAGCCCTTCCTCTTTTCCTCATACTATCAGTCCCCTCTAACTTTACAGAACAGCCATTTCGGTGATCTCTTCAGGAGCTTTCTAGAATCCCATGCGCCTTTGAACTCTTGCCATTTCTCAGCCTTAGGGAACCACCAGCACTCGCCTCCTCCAGTCCTGGCCCTAGGCTGCCAGAGCTGACTGAACATTCAGGCCACCTGTCTCAAATAATGGTCCTCCCAATAGGGCCATCCTCGATTGATCTTCTATTGACTTTGCCTTCCTTCCTCTACAAGAGCAGTTAAAGCTTTCCCCACTTCTCATGTCTACCCTCCCCATAAACTTTCAGCTGATGACATCATCTTGAAGAAGAACTAGCCATCGACATGGAGTCAATAGACCTGGGTCTTGTCAGGACCCACCACTAACCAGCTGTGTAATTGTGCAAAAGTCTCTCTGGGCTTCACTTCCCTCAGTTATGAGGGGGCTGGAGTAGATCCAAGATTCTTAGTGTGGCCTGTGGCCCACTGCAGGCTGAGTCTAGAGGATTCTCTGGGGAAGAAGACCAGTAACGATCTAGGGATGAAAGCTGTTTCTTCAGTTCTCATGGAAAAATGAGGTAAAATTTTAAAACTTTCATCTCTAAGTTCCATCATGGCTTGTTTATTAGCACGAAGTGAATTCTCAAGAGTTATTAAAATTTGGTGTCATTTTTCCCCTTCTATAGTTCTTTAGTCCCTGGGTGGTGTAAATGGTTAACGTGCTTGGCTGCTAATCAAAAGGTTGGAGGTTTGAGTCCATCAAGAGGTGCCTCAGAAGAAAGGCCTGGTGATCTACTTCCAAAACATCAGCCACTGAAAACCCTATGGAGTGAAGTTCTACTCTGACACACATGGGGTCTCCTTGAGTCAGACCTGGCTCGACGGCAACTGGTATGTATGTATAGCCCTTCATTAACTGTCACTGGAAAGTGGGAACAGCTTGGGGGAGGTGGGCTATGGCCAGAGAATTTCAAGAACCACTGACTATCCTTCTCAAAGCTCCCTTCTGGGTCTAGAATTTTGGTTTACTGAAATTGAGACAGGCTGATGGACGCTCCCTCGGCTTTCTCCCTTATACGTTAATCCTCCTCCACATTTTAATGACTTTCTCTCTGTAGAGAGGTCAGGCTGCCGTTTCCTTTCCGTTCCAAAGCCAGTCCTTTCACTGTGGGTCTGACGTCACTCCCACTGGCTCCATCACTCTTCAGTGATGACCCCACTTCTTAATACTTCACTCATTGTCTACTGACTTGGTTCTTTGCCTACAAACACGCTTAAGGGTCTCTGATTTTAAAAATCAAACAATCCCCCATAAAAGAGCTTTCCTTAACAACTCCTGCCCCCTCCGTGCGATCTCCTCTTGTCACCAAACTTCTCAGGACCATCTGCCCGTAGTGACTCACTTTGAAAGTGACCTCATCTGATCAAATCCCGGGATCTTTGTTTGTGGCATTTATTTCTTTGTTTTACCAGCTCTTCTAAATGAATGCTAACCACTTAGCAGAAACCATTTCTCTCCAGAGCCTGTGTTTTATCAGCTTCATGACAGTAGATGTCTTCCTCTTGCATGCTAGCTTTGTCCCCAGTCCTGTCTATTTTTAGTGCCTCACTAACCTAGGGATTCTAAGATGGCATTTCGGAGGGTTTTTCTCATTTCATTCTGAATATTACTACTCAAGCAACAGTGACTTCTGCATGGCTCGTCTCTCTGAGGCCCTTCAAAGGTAAGGAGCCCCACGGCCCAATATTGAGCTCTCTGCTATTTTCCGTCTCTTTAAGGAGTTCATTGATATCTCAGCCCATCCCACAGTGATCTACACACAGAGATCGTGACAGGGCCTGGTTTTGTGAGAAACACTCACAAGTCAAATGAACTAGTGTTAAAACACTGCACTGTTGCTGCTACTTACCAGCTGTGTAACTTCTCTGACCCTTAGGCTCATTATCTGTTAAATAGGGATGACCTGCCTTCTGGGGTCATTGTGAGAATTCAATGTGGAAATATATGTAAAGGGCCTACACACAGTAAACATTCAATAAAAGTTAGTTCCCTTTTCTTGTAAGACAGTGACCTCAGAACATAGGCCTGAAACTAAACCCAGACCAATGGCCTTCTTGACATTGTAGATTCTGTTTCTATCTTAAGAGATAATTCCTTATTTTTCCTTTTAAAATTTTTCTTTCAAATGGGCCAAAACGATAAGAGCGGTTATTCTGGGTGCTCATAGTAACCTTTCCATTTTCCCGTATTTCTCAAATTTTCTACAGTGTAGGGCTTTACTTACGTTATCAGGAAATGGAAATGTTTTTGAAAACAAAAAACCAAAACTACTTCCATTTAGAGCAGTTGATTCCACTTCTTCATCTATTTACCAAGATTTTTGTAGACTAGTTTTTCATTCTTTTGCATTCAATAGCCAACTTTCCTAAGACATGTCACAATTTTGTTTTCATTGTCAAATTTCAGCCCAAAGAGAGATCACATTAAAAGTGAGATCTGCTGCTCCGTCTTCCCTTCCTCTAACACCAAATCAGACCAAACCCATTGCCGTCGAGTCGATTCCGACTCATAGTGACCCTATAGGACAGAGTAGAACTGCCCCATAGAGTTTCCAAGGAGCAGCTGGTGGATTCGAACTGCTGACCTTTTGGTTAGCAGCCGAGCTCTTAACCACTGTGCCGGCCAAGGTTCTCAAAACGTGACTCCCCCAGACCAGCAGCAGCAGCATCACCTGGAAACTTTGCAGAAATGCAAATCCTCAGGCCCCACCCTGGACCAACTGAGTCGGAAACCTTGTTGGTGGGGCCAGCAATTAAGTTTAACAAGTCCTCCAGGTGGTTCTGACATGCGCTTAAGTCTGAGAACCACCACTCAACCACCGTTGTCCTCTGATCTGTTCTTTTTGAGCCATCTCTAAGGAGGTGCCTTCTCTCTCACTGCTACATTCAAATTGTTCCTTCCAGCCACCTCAAGGTCAGTTCTAGGAGCAAGTACTGGAGCCCAGCCATACCAGGACCACCACGGAAATGCCATCAGCAGGCAGAAGTATCTGAACTGAAAGAGGCCTCATCTGGTAGCCTAGGAAGTGGACAGATAGCCACCTTCCATGTGACCCTACAGCTTCTCCAAGCATCATTTTCATGGCTGAGGCTAAAGTCCTCCAAGCCTGTGATGAGAGAAAAGCATGGAGAAGAACCTCGAAGGACGCAGGATTTTGATCCGGGCATGTGAAGCTGGTTTGTTTGGGACTCTGGCACCAACCCTTCCATCTCTCTCCCCTCGCACCTTCCTCAGGGCAGCAGCAGCGGGTAGGACAGCAGGGACAGCGGACGTGGCAGCAGCAATACTGAGGGCAGCACTGGCACCAGCACACTCCAATCAGCAGCAGCAGGAGGAGGATTCCCAGAACGATGAAGATCACCGTCAGCCAGTCTGCAGGAAAGAAGCCAAGCAGGGGCTGAACTAAATATTCAGGCAGATGCTTCCAGTTCTAACATTCTAGAGGCTCAATAAATACAGCTGTCAACCTACAGGGTTAAGGTTGAGCAACATGCTGGAGAAAAAATAGCTTGGTTTTGATAAGAGAGCTTCAGAGGCTGGTAATCCAATAACAACTACCTGAATTTGCTTGTTTTTGTTTTTCCTCTGCGTAAAAGCATCACAGTAGTGGGGTGGCTGGATAGAAAATTCCAGCGGCACTTACGCAAGACGATGAGCTTCACCTCCTTATCTGGGTCACCTGACGTGTCTCCCGGTGCCTCAATGGTGCAATAGTACACTCCATGGTCCCACCACATCACTTCATTAATCACAAGATCTGCTCCTGCACAGGAAGGAGGAAGAACGGGCCAGTGTTCAGAACAGAAGGCAATGGTTTCTGACTCATGGTAGCTTCAAGACTGCAGCATTGTCTTCTCACATCCTTAAAGGGCCCCTTGACAGTTCAGAGAACCGTCTTGATTCCTTGCTTTGAGACCCTCCTCTTTCTCCAAACAGCATATTGATGGTAGAACCGACCATTCATTGAGCCCTGCAGTTACGTTCTAAGGATTTTGGATATGTTGCCTCATTTAATTCTCACCACAGCTCTCTAAGTGGGTAAGGTGGAGATAACTAGTTGTCTCCCAGTGTCTATTCTCCCCTCTCCCATGGTCACAGAATTCTGGCCGTGTACATGACCATCCAGAATGCAGGTAGTCCTCAACTTACGGCCAGGTTCCATTCCGATGACTCCATTGTAAATCAGTTCTGATGTAAGCTGAACACCTCATTTTTTTTTTAAATTTTTCATTATTATTGCCTTTTGTTATCAGTAGCTTTATAAATCCGATCTTTATTTGTCTTTGGGGGTTGTAAACATTACATATAGACTTACAGATTCACGACATCAGGAGATTACATGCTGCGACATCGCATGTAGTGCATGTTACTAACGATACGATGTACCAGAATACAAACAGGCAGTAAGTGTGGTTCATTGTAACTCTAATATGTCATAATTCAGGGACTACCTGTAAAGTCAATATTTCTTATCCTCTCTCACAGACAGACATGGACATGTGACTCAGTTCTAACCAATGGGATGTAAGCACTACATGATGGCTCCCAGGAACTTCTAAAAATCAGTCTATGAATACTGTAGCTCTTTCTTTTTTGTCTCTTCATCTACTCTGCTATCTGGAAACCAAATGTGATGGTTTCCATCTTGGGCCATGAGGAAGACGATGACATCCTTGGTTACCTGGAAGGAGTCTGGGTCTCTAAGGACTACTAGAACAGAACCACTGCATTAGTTCTGGGCTGTCTACCCTTGAATTTATACATGAGAAAGAAAGAAACTTCTTTATTGTTTAAGCCACTGATATTTTGGGCTTTTATTTACTTACAGCCAAACTTGATCCTAACAGATACAGGGGAAATGATTATTAGCCTTATTTACAGATGAAACCAATATTGAAAGAAGCTATATTATGGCCTAATAACATACAGATAATGCATAGCAGAGGTAGGTTCAAAACCATGTCTTCCTGCCTCAAGGCTGGTGCTCCTAACCACTAAGAGGTTCAATAAATATAGCTCTTGACCTACAGGTTAAATTTAGCTGTGTCCTCCTCAAACTGGGTAGAAAACTCTGCAGCCTGGACACTTACCAGCCTAAAACGAGAAGATACCTCTGGATCTTGAAGGGACAGATAAGATGAGCTTGAATAAGTAAGATGAAATGTTAATATTTTAAGAGTAAATGTTAACCAAGAAAGAATTTCAGTTCTCTTGAACACCAAGTGCTGTGCAACTCCATTAAGATAAATGCACGATAGCATATATGTCCAAATAGCAAATTCAACAAATGTTTATTAAAGACCTTCTATGGGTCCAGTGCTGTGAGGCACCGGGGGAGACTTGAAGAGGAACAAGACTCTTCTCTACCCTGAAAGGGCTTAAAACCCTGTCCACAGCATTGAGGCAGCCACCACGTCTCAGTGGGATGTCTACCCCTTCTACATTACAGTATGTCCTAGGAAACAGCCTGAAATTCTTAAAGACTTGTTCCTGCTCAGTTGGGAGTCAGATCTGCAATTCTTTATTATTTGTTTGTCAAAAAGGAAATGAAACAAAAATGGGAGGTCACGCAACACTGGAGCAAATTTTGACTTCTGTTTCCTTCTCCTTTTACGTCAATTCCTGCTATATTTTTCCTACCCACAGTTTTCCAGACCTACTACTTTTCCCAGAAACAAGCTTCCCCAGACTTGGAAGAATGGCGAAAGTGCTTTGGGGGTAATTCCCCCCTCAAAGATTAATGGGTATGGTAAGTCTGCCTCAATTTTTATTGGACATAGAGTATTTTAGGGATGCCAGGGTAATGGAGATGTGATAATCTGTTAATATTTTAAATGACCTAAGAGCTGATTTGACAGGGTCATCTCAAATGATGCAAACGCAGGCATTAAAGAGTTAGCAAACAAAGGCTTCAGGAAGCCTAGAGGCAGAAATAAAAACTGACGGGGAATACTGCCTTCCTGTGGGAGTAAGAAAAATACAAGGTTTGGTCCAAAGGTTGTTGGGATTGCAGGCAGTGGACGGTCCTCGTCAAAATTAGAAAAATAAAACAGAAGAACAGGGACTATCACCAATGAGGACTTCCTCTTTCAGAATCTGGAAGAGAGACTTGTTTAATTAAAGAGACTTTAAACCTTAGAGGGCAGATTACAGCTAATCCTGCCAGCTCTGGAGAAAGCAGAATCAGCCTGCATCCTTGGGAGTACACCTGGAGAGTAAAGAAGTGGACTCGAGGTGGACATCTTCACAGTCCCTATTTTCCTGGATACGGACAACAGGAGTGACCAGAGGGGAACTCAAGGGGCCTGTGGTTTGAGCAGGCCCTGAGAGCAATCGTGCAAGGAATCAGAGGAGCCTGATCCACGTCTTAGCCCTGAATCTCTAGGAAGCAAATCTCAGTGGGAAACCACCCACTCCCAGACCTTTAGCCAAAACTGTAGGACATCCCCTGGTCCACAGACTAACTTCCGGGGTAATCACTTCAGATGGCACAGAACATTCAATGAATCTGGCACTTTCCTTAAACAATGACAGTGACCAAGTAGACCATCAGGCAGCAGAAAAAAGGGAAGTACCCATGCTGACGCAGCCTGCCGGGCCTGGCGCCTGCATCTCCCTCCCACCTCCAGTTCCCCTGCTGCCTCTTTTGCACTCACGGTTCTGGATGGTGATCTTGCGCTGGCGGTAATCCACTCCCAGCACCGGCTCATTCTGCCCCCGCCGCTGGGCCACGATGCGGACCTCTCGCTGGTTGTCGTTACAGTCATTGGATGGATCCTGGCCCAAGGATAAAGCCGCCTGGTATGCTGAGGAGAGGGGACACGGCCGTTTCATACAGCAGTGGGGAGTTCCCACTAAGAAGCTGCCCTTACTCTTGCCTAGAGCAGTGAAGCTTCTCAGCTTTTACTGAAACTACAAATATCCTGGCATCTTGTTAAACATGCAGATTCTGATTTGTAGGTCTGGAGTGGGATCTGGGAGGCTGCATTTTTATTTTATTTTATTGTACTTCAGGTGAAGGCTTATAGAACAAATAGTTTCTCATGAAACAGAAGTACACATGTTGTTTTATGACATTGGTTAACAACCCCATAACATATTAACCCTCTAACTTCTCAACCTTTTTTTTTTTTTTGGTGAAAAT